TATAATCAAACTTGAAAACAAATTGATTTGATTATCTTTGTGAATTCATGGGAAGAGTAGTTAGGAAGAGACTGCATCAAGAAAAGTTTGTTTCCTAACCGACATATCCCCCCAAAACAAAATAGAGGATTAATCAGATATATCTAAAATACGATTACGGACTAGAACTGTACATGCTGGACGTATTATATAAAGGCATGGGCGTTTTCTATTAAAACTTCAAAGATATTAAGCTAGCGTAATTGTTATTATATTGATGTATTATTTGTATTATTTCCAACAGTTTTCTTCCGTGAAACAACTCAGCTTATTACCTCTTTGTTCTTATAACACCAAACTACTGCATTAGCGATGTTTTCAAACATAGATTGTTTGTTTAGGCTAATTGGTTTGTAAAAGTCTGAATCTGATAGTTTGTTTAGGCTAATCGGTTTGTAAAAATCTCAATCTGATAGCTTGTTTAGGCTCATTGATTTGTAAAAATCTGAATCTGATAGTTCGTTTAGGCTAGTTGGTTTGTAAAAATCTGAATTTCATCGTTTGTTTGGCTAATTGGTTTGTAAAAATCTCAATCTGATAGCTTCTTTAGGCTAATTAGTTTCTAAAGATCTGAATCTGAATATTGTCGAATCTTATTCGAACTGTCAACATCAGTTTTAATAGTGTAAAGTTGTCCTATAGTTTTCAATGTTTTATTAGAAGTAAAAACTAGGACTGAGATAGATCTCAAACCTGAGTTTGATGCAGATCTAAAATGAGAGAAAGACAAACAAGTAATCAGTTTAAAGACAACGTTTCATATCCAAACCAATCAATAACTTGTATCTAACGAAGACGTATTAGTATTACATTTTCCTTAGTTCTTTTCACTCATCTACATTTAAATATTACAAAGTTACGTAATCATGGTTGACTTGCCGCTGATGTATATTTTGTAAGATGGCAAGACAGTGCTCTAAGATACTACAGTTTTTATGAGCGTTTTTGGGCTTTTTTACAATTACACATAAGGGAAGCAACTTTTCATATCCTAAGATAACATTTCATTAATCATGAATTTTACACACATTCCGTTCAGGGGACGAGTACTCCAGCTAATAAATTATATCTATTCAACTTTAACATCTGCACCTTTGATTAATGTTTAATATTTCTTAAATCTAGTTTGACATTTCTACTCGGATAGGTTTGTTTGTTTGTTTGAAGTTAAGCACATAGCCACACGATGAGCTATTTGTGCTTTGCCTACCACGGGTATCGAAACCCGGTTTCTAGCATTGTAAGTCCACAGACATAACGCTGTGCTACTGGGAGGGTCACGAATAGGAAATCTCTTTGTAATTGGATTATTCAAAGTTCTGTTTTACAGTTGAAAATAGCAACAGTGCAAAACTTTGGAAATAAGCTCATTGAGTCTTTCACTGTACGACCCGGCATGCTCGACCTTTCAGCCGTGGGTGCGTTATAATGTGACGGTCAATCCCACTATTCGTTGGTCAAATAGTAGCCAGGAGTTGGCGGTAGGTGATGATGACTAGCTGCCTTCCCTCTAGTCTTTCACTGCTATATTAGGGACGACTAGCGCAGATAGCCCTCGTGTAGCTTTGGGCGAAATTCTAACTATACCTTTCACTGTATGAAACACATAATTCGCAATGAATGACAATTTAAATCGAAATGCATGACGATTTTAAAACAGAACAGTTTTTGATGAGATCCTTACGGGGCTTAATTAGAAAGGTGATGATAATAAATGCTTAAAAGATTAGAAGTAAATTGTACAAGTAATACATTTTGTATAAACGATGAACGACGTTCAAAGTTTAGCTTCCGAACTAAGACAGCGAGAAGTAGAGATAATATGTCAACTGATGTTGATAATTTATTCAATATTAAGATAAACAAACAAAAAAACAAGTTATTTCATATTTTTAGATTAATAAATGATCTAACTATTTTTATGTATTTATATGCAGATGTATAAAATGAATTACTCTGTTATGCACCGATATCGATGTTGTCCACTTTAAGTGCGCTGAAGATTTAAAATGTGAGAGAGAAAACTACTTCAATTACAAATTTCATTTTCAAAATCCGTTCGCTTGGTATAAAGTACGTAGATACAAAATAGTCTATCTGCTTTTTTATACCCACAGCGAGTATTGAAACCTGAGTTTTAGCGTGATAAGCTCGCTGACCTATAGCTGAGCCATGAGCGGAGGGGGGGGGGGGTTCGATGGCAAGACAGTGCTCTAAGATACCACAAACTACTGCATGAGCGAGGGGGGTTTGCAAAACACAAAATGTGAAACCGCAACTTTGCATGTATCTCCGCATGGACCCAACAAACCTTCATGCCAAATTTGGTGAAGATCCATCTACAGGGGGCGAAGTCGTGGTAAAAAACGTGAAAATGCAAAAACGCCCATAAAAACTACAAAACACAAAATGTGGAACCGCAACTTTGCATGTATCTCCGCATGGACCCAACTAACATTCATACTAAATTTGGTGAAGATCCATGTACATGAGGTAAGGTGGTGGTAAAAACCGCAAAATGCAAAACTGAAAATGTGTATGTATCTCCACTTGGACCAATTGAACCTCCATACCAACGTCGGCGAAGATCCATCAACAGAGGGCGAAGTCGTGGTAAAAAACGCCCATAAAAACCGCAAAACTGAAAATTTGTATGTACCCCCGCATGGACCAAATGAACCTCCATACCAATTTTGACGAAGATCCATCCACACCCTGCAAAGTAGTTACATGGACATACAACAGACAGTATCATTATATTTATATAGATTTCACTGTGTATTTTTTACATTTTTACTAATCATATTTCTTCTCTTATTGACTAAATAGACTTTTTTTATTATTAATTCCTAAAGTTGAAGTTAAACAACTTATCAATTTTTGATCAACAACTTACTGCCTCCCTCACTGAGCAAACTTTGATGTAGAGGTGAATTTCACTATTTGAATTAACTTTTAAAGAAGTTGAAAATGTACTACTAATTTTTCGCATGATACTTTTGTAGATATATATATAAACGGTGTATCGTATTCATAAGAATCATTTTAAGTTCTTTATTATTCTTAGACATGTTTAGGCTTGTATATTTACATAAACTTTATGTTAATTGGGACGTCGCAATCGTTTTATCAAAATCCACCCACTCATATTTCGCGCCTTTTATGTAATGATGACGTCTACAGTGTTTTGTCGTTAAGCGTAACTATCGCTCAAGTTTGGCGCTGTATGTTATGTCCATATACACTTACTCACATAGCAATATCAAACGTGGAAGGCTCAGACTTGTAAAGTGAAAATACCTCCGGTAACACATAACTAAGCTTGCATGAGTTGAGAGAGAAAATATAGGAACATTTATTATCAAGAATCCTGAAATAGCATTTACACTCATCTCATGTTCGCTTATTTATGTTTAATTATTTCTGGAAGCGCCAGAGTTCTTCGACTCTGAAAATAGCACCATTTGCTGGTATCTTAATGAAGGTGGTTATATTTGTATAAGGGACGACGTAAATGGTTTTTGTGTGTTCGGAGCGAGCGGTTTTCTGATGTGAACACTTCAGTAAATAGAGTAAGTAAAAAAATTAAGTGATAACTAAATAATTATTAAACTTGGGTGACCGCAACCATGACAGCGAACGAGTATTTCAGTTCGTAACTGTAGATGGCAATCACTAAAGATGCTGACGTACACATCTCAAATAAACCACGTGACCTTGGTCTTTATACCTCAGGTGTACAATTATTACATGAAGAATAGTCAGTTTACTTTGTGTTCCTTACCTTTCTATGCCTGAAACTCTTTAATAACTCGAATGTGTGAATGAAACTCGTACTTGTAATACTTGTATTATATCTTAACGCTCCATTGATTACTGACCCATCTATGTTAAGTATCTAATGTTAGAAACGCGCATTTATAGGCCGAATCTATTGTGAATCAGAATTTAGATTAATTATTATTAATTGTAATTATTATTGATGAATTTTTAGAAGCTTTTCTGAGTCAAGTTATAACGTAAAAGAAAAAGAGTCATGCTTCGATAATATACAAGTAAAGAAAAACTTTTCAAAAAAGTAAAGGTAAACGTTTCAAAAGAGAAGTAAATATAGGGATGGCTAATATCAGTCCTTTAAAAACAATGCAAGAAAAAATTGGGGTGGCATTTGCTACGTCGCTACATAATAGCACAGGTACACAGTGTAGTAGAATGTTAACAGACAAAAATAGGATAAATTAAACTCAATTGTGATTGAATTGTTATATATATATATTGCTATATGTTAATTATTTCCTGTGCTATTTTGTAGAGATGATGCAAAAGCCACCCCTACCATCTTGTTTGCATTCCTTTTGAAGGATTGATATTAGCTATTCCTACATTTACTTCTCTCTTGAAAAGCTTACCTTTTCTTGTTTATAATCAAGTTCTAAATACAATGAGGTTCCAACTGTAATATTTATTGTTTATCTATTATTGGCTGGTAATT